CCAGACCGAGGGTTCGTCGCGATTTCTTGCGAGGCAACAATATGGGAGAAAAGTTACCCTCAAAATTGTGCGATTTTCTTTTATCGATCCCAAAAAATCTCCAGATAGAGTGATATGGCTTTACATTAACTTTTGCGTACAATTCTTACATTATTGGTTCGCTATTTCTCGAAGTGCTTGAGGTTTCAAATGACAATTGTAGAAAATATGGAAATTACATTTTTTGAGGAAACTGTATTCATGGTTTCTGAAGTCCTGCATTATGATGGTAAAGAATTTTGTTTGTATTAAATTGTATTATATTATTCCTTTAACTTTTGGGTCGATATTGGGTGTATTTTGAATAATTCCGATTGCGTCGGGGTTATTATTGTCCTACTGTTGATTATGCTTTTGATAGGGTTATTCGTATCATAAAGGATGTAAATTCTGGTTGGTTCATTTTAGCTTCATTTTATTTTGTGATAATATATATTCATATCAGTCGAAATATTTATTATCAGTCATTTAAATTAGTACATGTTTGAATAATTCGGGTTACAATTATATTTTTGTCTATAGCTACAGCATTTTTAGGTTATGTATCACCTTGGGGTCAGATATCCTTTGTATCTATTGAACTCAGAAATATACTGGAACAGGGAAACGACGAAAAGCTGGTCTAAACAATATTTTTTTAATCCTTCACATTCAGTTCCTCAAATATTGTAAACTTTAAATACCTTGAAAATTTCTTGCTTTTTAATATCTGTCTTTGTATCTATCGACCTCACAAATCTACGTATTGGAGTAAAGCGAGGAAATGTCGTTCTTGAACATATTGAGAAAGATCTCGTCTGGCAGTCACTATTTTCCACACGGAGAGTAATTAAACATCGAGGTTAATCGCGCCGAAGGTTAGCGGTGAGTGTGGCGGGTAATATCGGCTTAGAGCCAGGGCAAAATCCTGACTCGCGGCGAAACCGGAGTGGAACTTTTTAATTAAGCCAATCAATCCGGTCTGGGTGCACGGTAACCCTCGGAATTCGTCGGGAACAGAAAACGGAATTGTCGGGAGTACAAGCATGAACGCGGGTAAACGAAAATGAACGTGGCGACACGAAAGTTGACACAACAATTGGAACTTTTAAATAATGAAGTTTCTTCTGGAAAGGGTTATTAGTATTAAATTCATATGAGTTTTAAAACTATTCGAGGAAACTTATATTTTGAAAATTAGAAGAGATTTATATTATTATTTCACTGTCCGTTTATAAATTGAATATGTAACTTTTAGTAAATTATTTTTGTTTCTATAAAATTTACTTATCACTGATCATTTTTATAACTGCAGAAGAAGTAATCATTTTCTCGATTTGTCAGGTCAACAATCATGAAAAAGTAAAATGTTGCTTCTAGAAAATTAAAGTATTTAACTGAACAATTATTATAGATTCTAAAATAAAAATGTTTCAACACCTTCTCGTGTAATATAATCACGAATATTTAGTTTGCATTAATTTAAAATTAGTTCCAGATGACTTTGATGTATTTATGTAATGGTGAGAACATAAACTGTACAAAACTTGTAAAATTTTTAAAAAATTTACACCGCAAAATATTTCAATCCGAGAAAGATTTACTTTCGTTACTTGTATCGCTCTCTTATCAAACCGACGATACGACGAAACATCTAACTCCAAGTGATTTCATTATTTTACAGTTTAAACATCTCATAAAATGTTCCAAAATCCCCTGCACAATATAGTTACCGTATCACCGGCAACAATCCTCTTCCATCACGAAAATCACCGCCATCTTCATAAGGAGAAGGCTCCAGCGGGCAAAGAAAATGGCAAACGGCCTCCCCCATAAAGTTTAGCATTTAGACAAGAGTCTCTTCTCGCAAAGCACAACGTCGAGTGGTCCATTACGGGCCGAATGAAAGGCGTCGATAGTTGTTATCTGCCTGTTATCCTGTTCCTTTTTCGGCCTCTCTTCCTTCTAGAAGGGGAAACACCATGAGCGAAAACCACTAGCCGCACTCCTCAGAAGGAGAACCTTCCTATCCGGCGGTTTCCCCTCTTGACAGCGGCGGTTCGTTCTTGTAATTAGGCTGTTCTCGAGGATGCTTTTCCTTCGACCAGCGGCCGAGCAATCTCCTCATAATTCCCGCAGTCTTATCTCAGCCGTTTCTTCGCGAGCAAACAGATCTCTCGGAGATGGAGAGGAACGCCTCCGCGGTAGCGTGATAAAATTAAGGGGGAGCGGTTCGTTAAGAGGCTTGCGGCACCGTTCCGCGCCGCGAAGCTGCCTCGAAAGGCGGCTGCCAGGCTCTCGAGTGGTGCATTACGATGTTTGCCGTTGCTCGATGCCTCCACCGGATATTATACCGCGATGCCGGCCCTCCACCGAAGACTTTCCGGCCACTTCGTTCCCGTCTAACTTCTGCTTGCTCGAGGATATCACGTTCAAGGCTGGAATAGTGCTCGGACATGTGTCAGATTTCTCTTTTATATCGACAAGGCGGAATGGTGCGACATGTGGGCTCTGTAATGAATTTAACCCTTTGGATTCGAGAGACGACTTAGAAAGCGACATTATTGTTTACCAGGTGGTGAATAATTAATGGAGGCATTCTTAAAGCTGAGATTTTCTAGGACAGCAGGTCTATGGACCTCTGTAAATTTGGAGAGGTCCAGTGCAAGAGGGATAATGAGGGCTATGCCACAAAATGTTGAAGAATGAGATTACACCTTCAGAATTTTCTCGTGCACTTTAATTTAAGTATGTCTGTAGAAAAATATGGTTTGCCAAGTAAAGTAGTTCTAAATGAAACACTTTGTAATAAGAACAGATTTGTAAAGCTTCTTTTACTCTGTAGCAATTAAAAGACACTTAATGATAATAATAATAAGAAACATAGTAATTTGTATAAAGAGCTACCAGAATATCGACTTTTGTCATCAATATAGCACCGATATTAATTATCAAATTTAATTTCGGTTTGGAGTAATGTAATTAACGACACACAATTAGGATGTTATAATTACGAGCGTACTTTTAAGTAGAAATAGATATTTTTAATTTCGCAAATGCGACACTTTAATTATTTCAAAGTGGACAGAATTCTATCTCATAATTCGAAAGCTGGTAGAACGCTTCTGAATAATATTCTACAGCAGGTGGATTGAACAAATGGATTCGTTAAATCGCTATCACAATCCTGACACTCGTTCATTTTATCTAAAATTTATTGTTCACGTTAATATTGCTGAGAAACGTAAACGATTTAAGGAGGAAAATATTAGAAGCACCAAAATGGGTAATATTAGCATAAAGTACCAAAAATTTAATTAAAAGAACGGAGAAAAGTGCTTCAGAAAACGGAAATTAAAGTATGATTAAGAAAATATGAATGAAATTTTGGTTAAAAAGATAATACCATTGTCAAAAGGTAATATCAACAGATAATATCGAAATTATAAATTCTCCAAAGTATTTGCTTTTTCAAAGAAACTAAACCTAATACTTAAGAGAGACAAACTGAGAATTTTCCAGATTTTGTATGATTCGCTTAAAGGGAAGGAATTAAGAAAACATCGATTTCTACTATAGAAATTTCAAGGTCACCCTTCTTCTCCGTGTTTAGGCATACAATGCCTTAATTTTTCTTATTTTCGTTGCACAGTTTTGTTCACGTGAAATGTGATTTTATCGTAGCTCTCGTTACACGCTCAAGTTGAAACATTAAAGCAGAATTTGAGTGGTGAATTTCAATGTTGTTTGCTGCGTTCTTAATTTCCCCTCTTATATTCATATAGCATTTAATCACCCATTAAGGTAAAATTGCTACCGAGGACCACAGACAACATATAACCGGATTAAAATTTGCCATTAAGGAGGACCAATATTGCCCCGATAACGGAGATAAATAGATTTCAAAGAGAAACGAACGCGGTTATTGTTCCATATCATCCTGAATATCTTTCTCCCTGTTAATTAACGATCGTTAATTTAGCGGGGGGAAAACGACAATTTTATAACCACCAACCACAAAATTTTTATTATAACGGCTACTTTATGTCGAAGACAGATTCAAGGGAAAAAGTAGGACTGATTTTTAAACGATATTTGATATATTGGAAATGAAAATATTGCAACGAAATTTAGCAAATATTTTACCAATTTATTTCGCAATTATGTTAATGAAGATAAAAATAAAATAACTATTCATGGCAAATCTAAGCGCGAAAACGCCAAGCAACTACACTACAGATAGGAAGGAGTGAAGTGGGGAGAAACCCAAAAAGCGACGCTCGACTCCAAACCCTTTTCCTGACCCTTGATTGGTCGGAAGCAAGCTACGATACCCGTTCGACATAAACATTTAATAACTATTCAACTATTTCGATAACCCGAGACGAAAGCGATCTCGACCGTTCCGTAACAATGACATTTCTGTTTCCAGAAATCCTGTTGTTTCTCGATATTCACGGAAGTCGTTTCCTGATATACAGAAAGGCCAGACATTTTTACACCCAACCGTTCAACTTCTTCCTTCGCAACTTTCCTCTATCTCTAACCAAATCAGAGATATAACCCGTTTTAGTTGCGTGACTCACCCTGCGTCGCGACAACTGCACCCCCGGTACGGCTGCGAAGAAAAAGAAAAAGCGAGACTAAACGAGCAAAATAGAGTGTAAATTGAAAACTGCTACACAAATAGCGCTCGCGTGCCGTTCGTTCTGAGGCGTGTAAACGCCACGAGTTCGACATGCTTCGTTCGGGATAAAGCGGTACACGTGTCCGGGGTGAATTCTTTAGAAACGAAGGCCGCCATGGTGACGAGATTGAATCCGTCGCGCGTAACCACGCGCAACGATCGTGTCGGGGCGAGTTGGCCGCGCTTTAATCTGAAATCAGGGGCTGCAGCCAGAGAGCGGAGGCTTTTAAGCCTCCGACGCCCGCGTAACTTTCCAGAAAGTCCTGACGAACTTTGGCCTCGTTGCTTGTTGCAGCTGTCCGCCATCGTCGATGGGATTTACGCGGAACATGGCCACACTGCGGGCTCGTTCACACATTTGGCGAGCGATCGACTGCTGGTGGGCGGAGGCGCCGACGCGAGATCCCTGCAGGGCTCCAAGGGGATTCACAACTTCGTCGGATGTCTGAGGAAGGTGAGCGAACGTGATCCACTTTGCCTTCTCGCGATTTATTTCACCGGTGTAACGTTTGATCTGGGCTCGCTAAGGCAGGCATATGAGACTTGTTTCACCTTAGTGCGGTACCCGGGTCTTTTTTGACCCATCGCCTTCTTATTTTGTTTAATAACTTTTGCTGTTTTCAGGATTACGTTCCCTTTACATTATAGTAAAAGTTTATTATCTAGGTTTGTTATGTATAAAGTCTTTGGGTCTTCTTTGACCCAAACACCCTGACACCGTTTGCTACCAAGCGTCACATATAATAATACAAAATGCACAGTTTGGGTATTTAAGAAATATTAAGTGTATATAAGTGCAGGCATCCATCGTATTATGTAAAACTAATAAAAATGCAGATATTAAGAATGTAAATCAAAATACTTCGAAGGATAGGAGACGATGGTAGCAAACGTGTTAAGTGTACAGTCAAACGGAAGAAATTTGCATGCTGTGTGAGAGGATTTTGGAGAGAAAGAGTTTTGGTGCTGGGCTTTTAGCTTTTTGAATATTTTGATTTTGTATTTGTAATTGAACGGTTATTAACACGTTCAGAACGACGTGTCCCAGAGTGATACCCTTATTTGCCAACGTGGCCCACGGTGGGTCATCGAGCCATGCTCTTATTTGCAGACGTGACCCACCATGGGTCACCGCGAGATGCTTTCATCTGACGACGTCACTCGTGAATGGGTCATCGCAACCAAAATATTGAAAATAACAATACAAACTAACGCGATGTAGGCGTCAGGTAAAGTTATAGATAGAAACAGTACGAGTAACGTCAACTTATATTCACTTAATCCTTTCATTACTATTGGCGCCTACAGGCGTTTGGAAAATTTGCTCGCACTACAGTAAATTCTCTACAAGTGTCAGTCAGTTTGGATTCTACAAGTGTCAGTATAGATGGTCCTACGCCTAGGCTGCGTCATTGCTGCGCCTATGTTATCTCTCTCGCTGTCAGTCAAGAGTGTAACGCTACACCACTCGGTTTCTTTTACAAGATTTCACGGCTCGACAATTCATAATAGAAAAATATAATTTCTTTAACTTTACTTTTCTTCATCTTGAATTTGTTTTAACATGTTGGTCGAGATTTCTCTGATGAAAATGATATCAAACACGATATAATTTGAACAACATTTACTTATTAACACGTTCACTATCTGGCGTGACAGTGAATAAGTAAATGTTGTTCAAATTATGTCGTGTTTGATGTCATTTTCATCAGAAAAATCTCATCAATATGTTAAGAAAAATTTCGGGATAAAAAAACGTAAAATTAAAAAAGTTGGTATTTAAATCGCTTGGTTGCCTCGACTCACGTTTCATCCTTATCTTTTATTCGCTGTCCTTGTCTACGTTCGGCAAACTACAAAGGCGGGCGCGAGGCTCGAAAACGTAGTCCCTGACTCTACAAGTGTCAGGTTTAGGTTCCTTGCGGACTGACACTTGTGGAGAATTTACTGTATATTGTTCGAGCCTTTTGGTACACTTCCACCTAAATTTAATACTAAATTTTATCCTTTACGTACTTCCACCTTACGTGTTCAAATCTGCCGTAGTGAAAGGGTTAAAAATTTTTTCAAATACACCGATGCAAATTTGAACAATGTGCAATTTTCGTAATAGTCCTTTAAATAAAAAAAGGAGAAAATAGAGAAATGAAAGTGTTCCCTTGAAAATTTGTATTTCGAACATTACTATGAAAATTCAATGTTTAACTGAAACGACAAAGTTAAATTCGATTCGAAAAATCCGTTGAATCGTTGCTCAGTTCTTTAAAGATCCTTTTGTCACGACGAAACAGAATAATCCAAGAACTAACGAGAACATTCCGTCCCTGCATTTTTAATTCGCTATCGTTGGCCACGAACGCGTCGTAACGTCTACCGGTCGTCGTTTTGTCCTGCGACGTCTCGTTTCATTAAAAGATAAAACCGCATGTTCGTGTTGCCCTCCCGCAGCCAAATACCAGGCATAAACGGCACATAAATGCCTCTACTTCATGATTTCCACTTTAATGGAATACAGAAATTATTTCGTAACAAGCTACGTACCGTAGAACGCAGAGAATTTTCGGAGAATGAAAATTAATCTACTGATTTTGTTTGAAGGAAATGTTCCGTTGTACGTGCATTAAGTTTTATATTCTAACTCGAATATGAAAAGGTTCACCAAGGTTTTATTTACACCGTTTAAAAGAATATAAAAAAGAGCTTCCTTTTTAAAGAAATTTTGACGAAACTTTCTAAGGCAATTGAAATTTTTCTGCAGTTTTTGGGCACGCGAAGAAAGAAAATCGCCGGAAAATTAGAATTAAAGAACGAAAAGTGTGTAAGAAGTTATATCGTCAGAAAGCTTAGATTTGTCTCGATTTTGTGTCGTAGTATGCATTCCAGTATTTTTTTTTTCATTTATTAAAAATTATAGCCAAATGCGTGTTTCGAAAATTACGCACTTTAACCCTTTATCATAGATCCTAGAAAAAAGAATAAGGACCAAAAGCTTATCTACAAATAAGCATAGGGCTTTCTGAAAGCAGTATTCAAAGGCTGATGATTTTTACAAATTTCGAATAATGAAACTACCGTATTTTTCGGACCATAAGACGCACCCCAAATTTATGGGACGATTTTTAGAAAAGAATATTTTATTAGGCGTATAAAGATATTTTCAAATTCTTACTTAATTTATTTATTGTTAAAATAATTCGTACTAGCAATGTTCAGTTCATCTCCACTCTCGGTACTATCGCTCATCTCGTTAATGTCACCGTTCGAACTTCTCCAATAGCTTCGATACAGTATAAAGATTCGTATTTTAACGTTACCCTCGGACCATAAGACGCACTCCAATTTTAAGTCGATTTTTCTATGTGAAAAGGTGCGTTTTATGGTCCGAAAAATACGGTACATAGTCAGTTGGTGCGATAATGTATAGAATCGTCTAGAAATTATTCGAATTAAATGCATCACTTTTCGAAGAACCACTACGTGTTTAAAGTTTAATTTGAAGAAACGACGTTTCGTATCCGCTAACCAGATAGAAACGTCGCGTAACCTAAAATCGTGATATAATTTGTCCACTGAAAAATGACAAAGCTTGTACCAGCAATTGTCAAGGGTGTCAGTTTAAATCTGAAGAACAGTTCATTCTGATAGAGGGGTCGTTTGTTGGATAACGAGCAGACAAGCCGCCCCAAGTGCTGCTTTTAATTCATTAACCTCGTTCCTTGTATAACTTTCTCCTGCGGCCAACTGTCAAGTTGGAGCTTCATCATCGCAGGAATTACCTTAATATGAAAATTGCAGCCCCCAATGTGCTATTTGCTGCACGGATCCACCGGTTTACGTGTTATTAATTATTTCTTGCGCCGGGACGTTTCTCCCTTTTCCTTTTTCTCTTTTCCACTCCCCTGCCGTCGATACGCGTGAGTATTCTCTTTGGGTTTATCTCGTGAATTAATCTGAGTTTCGTACAAATTATAATGAACTGAAAATAATAATCACTTCGTCAGTTTTTCTCTGTCAGTTTTCTTTTTTCTAGAAATGTTTCGGTGGATATTCTTGTTTCGTGACTATTGTGTGAGACAAGATGTAAATTGTGGATACTTTCATTCGATTGACACGATTCGTTGGAGTTAAAAATTAGAAGAATTAAATATGTCATTATTTCGTATTAATTTCCTGTGTTAATCTCTGCTTTAGAAATTTCAATAAGTTTGTTATTAGAAAGATTTATTGGTAAAGCAAATGTTATTCTAAAACCGTAGACTTCAGTTTATTTCAAGATAATTCGTTGAAAAATCCTTTACCGTGTGCTCGTTATAAGTATTATTTTAATCTCGAGCAAACTACAATACATATTTAATTATATTTATTGTTATCGTTCTAATCTCGAGCAAGCTAAAGTAAAATTTGATTATTATTGTCGACATTTCAAACGAAGAGCAATTCAATTATTTCAAATACCTTCTACTTGAAAAACTGCTTCAAGTTGCCTGATAAATTCTCGCTTCCCGTTATCTCCAATTTTTTTTTTTTTTTTTATTCAAAATGGATATATTCAGGCTGAAATTTCGGTTCCTGTCATTGCGATGTGATGAAATATTCATAGCGGTGAAGTGGCTCGACAAATTTCCCGAATGTGTGTAGAGAAGCGAGAGGAGGTTAATAAAGGAGAGAACAAAGTGGAACCTAAAAACAAAATAAACGAGCGATGCAACAGAACGGTGAAAAAAATTGAAAAGTTAACTACAGTCATGGTTTTTCTAGATATTGTCGTTTTAGTTCGAACGTTGAACAGTGTATTTAACGTGTTACGCAAATAGAAATCGGTACAGGCCTTTTCCTACTGAAACGAAACGAAATAATTATACGTTTCACTTGAAAGTAGTGAGATTTCGCGAAAATTGATTATCGACGACTTCATTCGAGTTAAAAAAATTAACTTCCTGTGTTTGCTCGTGAAAAATGAGTTTTCATCGAGTGAATATGAATGCGAGAATGATTTCAGAGTAACAAGAAGAGAACGATAGCAATGTAGTAGTTTTTATTAATTTTATTTTTTATTTACTTAGTTTTTCTTAGAAATGAATATTTCCGCACGAATAAGATTGTCTTAAAAAAAAAAAAAAAGTAAATAGAAAGCCTCCTTCAGAAGAATCGAATTGAATTGCAATGCACTATCTCGGTAGATATTAATATTTTACGAGAAAAAAGGTAGGTACTTATTCACACTATGAACATGAAAGAGTAAGTATTTATAAAATTTCTTTGAAAGAATAAACCAAATTACCTCAAACTTTTAACCCTTTGCACTCGAATGGCGACTGAGAAGCGACAAATATTTAAAATAAATAAGAAAAGAATGTATTATAATTAAAATATATTTGTCAATATACATATGGTATGATTTATTTCTGTGTTAGTTTTAAAAAATTTCATCTATTTTTTAGCAAATAAATACTA